TTGCGCAACGCGTGAAGTATCCCTGTTAGGTTTGTAGGCGCCAATGCGCGTTTCGCGCTGGCTGTCCGCCTGCCACGGCGCTTGAAGCAACTATTTCACACCAGAGGTATTGCACAGTATCGTACGAAATTGAAGGAGCTCCAACATATTAGGAATGGCAGGCATCCTTCAAAAGTACGGAGCTTTCGTCGCAAAATAAATCAAGATACTACGGCCCAAAAAGAGAGCGGTAGTTCAAAAACTCACTAAGTCCTATCATCCGTAATTAGTAACGTTTAGCATACACTTTATCGTCAGGCTGTTGCTTGATCGCCATCGGCTATAAAAGGCTATAAAAATTGTGTTGCCGGCTATAGAAGCTATTGGAAATCTTACAGCCGGCTGTAGGTCTATAGTATTTTGGAACACAGATTCTACTGCCAATTTTTACCAGGGAAAAAAGCAGGATGCTAATTATAGGAGGGCAGTATTTCGAGAGCTACATCCGCTCTCCGCAGCGGAAAAATTTTGAATTTGGGATTTTCCTTAAAGTTGATCGAAAATCAGATTTTAAAATCTCGGCAAATCGCTCTATTGTTTTTTTGTAGTTAACCGAATTTTCTTTTAATCTGTTTCAGGTATGTTGACGATCTATCTCTCGTAACGCCTAGGATATGGTTGTTTTCGACGTAAGCGTTTTAAACGTAAGTTTATAGTTTTTTATTCCAGTGAAAATTGTGTTTTCAAAATACGAATATCATTTCTTTACTGCCGGGGACGAATCACCTCAGGATCTCCGGCGCAACCGCCTTCTTCTCTATGTTTTTTCCCCTCCTCTTCTTTTTCCTCATCTTATTCCTGTTCATATTGTTCCTCTTCTTCTTCTTCTACGTATTCTTCCTCTCCTCCTTCGTCTTCTCCTTCTTCCTTTTCTTCTTTCCCATCTTAGCCTTTTTACACTTCTTTCCCATATTATCCTTCTTCTTTCTCGCCTCTTTTTCTTTATCGCCTGGCTGTTGCTTAATCGCCATCGGCTATAACAGGCTATAAGAAAATGTGTAGCCGGCTATAGAAGCTATTGGAAATCTTACAGCCGGCTGTAGGTCTATGGTATTTTGGAACACAGATTCTGCCAATTTTTACCAGGGGGTGGAAAAAATTTACTGATTTCATCGGAAATTCGTGATCCGTCTGAATAATTTTGGCAACGTCTGAAGGCTCATACGGCGCTTTTCCTTAGCACGACAGCACGTGCGTCCATCGCTACCGTGTTAAGGAGGAACACAGTATGAGCCTTCGGGCGTTGCTAAATTGCTTCGATTAAAAAGAAATTTTTAAATTAATTGTAAATAATTTTTTTTTCGATTTCTTGTAAAAATTTATTTGAAACTAGTCTGAAAATTTCAAAGAGAAAAATTGATTACTTTCTACAAAACCAATAATTTTATCGAGAGAAAGTTGGCAGCATCTGAGGGCTCATACGAGGATTTTGCCTAGCATACGGCAAAACGGTTGACACCTCGCGCGAATATGTTCGTCCAGTGGTGGCCCGAATATTCGTTCCAATTACAGAACCAGTCGGCAGAAGAAGAAGCGGATCTGGCCGCGGGCGCGTTGAAAACCGAACTGTTTTCGGGGTTTGTTTGAGGTTAGGCACTGCCACTGCACCACGGCAGCCGCGCCGCACGGTGGATCGCACCAATGAGAGAGCTTGGATATCATGTGCACACTTCAAAAGCTTGCATCTTCGAAAATACAAAGCTTTGAAAGTGATGCTATTGGTTTTCTCGTGAAAATCTCCGCAATGAGCACTTCTTGAAAAATATAATCCAACGGAGTCAACGTAGAAATTTGCAGTTTTAACGCCATGGTGTTAACGACCGGGAAATACGGAAATTTTTACTGTGTTAGTCCGATATTACAACATATTTTGATCAGTAGCAACATCCATCGCAAACTTTGGCTGGTTTTGGACGAAAACGGTTAGAGAGTGGTGACAATCATTCATCGAGACGACTCAGGTCTCTCGCGCCTTCAACATCACGCGATACTCAACGCATTACCGTGAAGTTAGTTTTGGTGCTTGACCCAACCAAACCCAACATAGCTTGGAAGCTTGATTCTCTGTCGTACTCAGGACGTCCTGAGTTGCCGCAATCACACGTTGAATGTGGGCGCTGAATGTGGCTTGAATGTGGAAGTCATCGGCCCGATGCCCAACGATTCTCAGCGACCATCGGACAATGTCGGATTTGTCTGAACTGTTTAAACAGATTTGATAAACATCTAGATGAAATTAACTCGAATTTGCGGAATTTCAACCGTTGAGCGATGACTCTTGACTTTCATATTCAGCTGTCAAATTCAGCGTGTGATTCCGGCAAGTGGTGAGATTATCAAGTTCACTTTATAACGACTAATCATTCATCGAGACTACTCAGGTCTCTCGCGCCTTCGACATCTCGCGATACTCAACGCATTACCGTGAGGTTCGTTTAGTTGCTTGACAAAACCAAACCCAACACAGCTCGGATTTCTGTCGTGCTCACAATCAGACGTATTGAGCGGTGAGCTTATCAAGTTCATTTTACAATGACTCGTTCGCTAAGGAATCGAGCAATACTTTACGCGCATCAGCCAATAAGGAAATTATTGCAACCGTTAAGCAAAGGAAAAAGTAATCAAAACAACTCCAAAATAACCAGAAACACCGAACTTTTTATTTAACCGTGTAGTGTCTTTAACATTAAACGCAATTTCCATCCGTAATAATGATGCTACAACATGGGCAAATCCAGGAGGGGTAGTAGAGGACGTACCCCCTCCCCCCTCCCGTTCCCCCAAAAAAAGGAGGAAGAAAAAGCGAATAAAAAAGAGGAAAGGAACGGAGGAAGAAGAAATAAGGGTGATCATATTTCGTAATGATTCATGACGAGATGGACTCAAACCGCACACTTTATAATTATTTTTATACTATACATTAACATTTCGCAAATTTTCTGGGGGAAGCCCCCGGGCCCCTTTTCTGCCCCTCCCGTTCGAAGTGTCTGGTTCCGCCTGCCTATATCGGGTAAGGAGCTCCTGAAAATCAGGGAAAATCAAGGAAATTTTACCCCATGCAATCAAATTTCGAAAATTTTCCAGAGGAAGTCCTCGACCCCCCCCCTTTCTGCCCCTCCAATTCGAGGTGTCTTGGTCCGCCTATTTGTATGGGGAGATGAGCTCCAGTACTTAAGTCAGGGAATATTTGTGCAGTACGTTAAAATTTCGAAAATTTTCTTGGAGGAGTTCCCGGGTGTCTGGATCCGCCTATACCTATACCTAGCAGGGAATTAAATTCTTAAAATCAGAGAAAATCTAGGAAAAATTAGGGAATCAGCATGGTCAAGGATTCTGTCACGGAAAAACACCGTATGAGCATTTGAATGTTGCCAAAGTTTCTCTCAGAAAATATTTAATTTCTAAAAAAGTTATGATATTTTTCCCTTAAAATTTTCAGTCTTTCGGATCAAATGTCGAACGAAATCCTCCGAAAAATCGGTAGAGAAATACTGACAAATTTTCCTAAAATCAAAAGGGAAATCTGACAACGCCTGATGGCGTATACTGCCTTTATTTCCCTTTGCACGGCAGAATTCTAGAGACGATGGTATAGCCAAAAACTTGGTGAGCGATCTTTCGGTTGGATGGCTCCATTGTGCGGCGCGGAGCGGCGTACAGCGGACCCAGTCAGTCAGAGAGGTCGGACATGAAATTTTTGACTAAAACTGCAAATTTTGATGTTCAATTCGTCACATTTTGAATATCAAGGTGTGGATGAGGAGGAAAATTTTACAGGAAACCAATGGAACCACTTTTAGGGTAGTTTCACGAAAACTGGAATAGTTTTGTCGCCGTAACAGACGACACTTTTTTCGGTCATATTTTTAGTCAGTAGGAATGATTATCATTCGAATTTTTTCGCATTAATGTTCAAAGGGTTACGTATTATAACACTTTCTGATGATTTATTGCTCTGCTTCTCAATTAATATTATGTAAATTCCGAAAATGCGCTATCTGTTACGCTGTAAAAAGTCAACGTAACAGACAGCGCATTTTCGGTCATTTATGTATTAAAATTGAGAAGTAGAGCGATAAACCTTTGAAAAGCGTTATAACACATAACCCTGCGTAGATAAATGCAAAAAAGTCGAGTAATTATCATTACTACTAAAAATATGACAGAAAAATGTGCTGTCTGTTACTGCGACAAAACTATTCCAATGGACCACTAGACAAGGTCTGAATTTGACCAATCTGATACATGTTTCTTAACCAGAATTTCACGCAGAATACGATTCACACGACGAAAATTACTGAAACCAACTCCTAACGAAGATATTAACATTTGTATTTCACATTGGTGACGAGGAATTTGAACTGCCCGCTTACAAGAAACTCAAAGCTCTACGTGAGTCAAATCGCGCACTACAACGTTGTTAGCAAGCTTCTCAATCGAGCAATGTTCATTTCCCACCATGTGTTGTTCAAACTGTAGGCAATTTGCTACAGCTGATCCAAAGCGTCAAGATTGAGGTTGCCAGAATTTTATAGCGCTGAGACTGCCATGATAACGTTTAGCGCGCGATATGAATCACGCAGAGCATTGAGTTTTCATTAGCGGGTGGTTTGAATTCACGCATCAAGAATCATTGAATATCTTCGTAAGTATTTGATTTCGGTAATTTTTGTTGTTCGCATCGTGTTTTACGTGAAATTTTATTAACGAAACATGCATCAGAATGCTGAAATTCGTACCTTGTCTAGTGGTCCGTTATCTAGTTGGGAAATTGTGTCGGAGCTCTCCTATTGACTGGATGCACTGTGCGGCGGCGGGCGGGCGGCGAGCCACGACGGTGGACGCGACGGACGCGCGGCGAGGCGCAATCAGGCAGAGCCAGCCGTCGGACGCCGCGCCGCCGCCGCCGAGAGAATCCTGCAAAGCGGACCCAATGAAAGAGAGGCTTCAGCCTGGAGTCGCCGAGTCGAGCCGCAGACCCGAGTACCCGCGTCAGTCCGCCGCTGAGCGCGTAGCTGTCGTGAGCGCGAGTGAATCCCCTGCCGTGTGCGTGCGTTTCCCGAAAGTGTGCTGTGTTTGTTTCTCATCCCGGATCTGTACCCCGAAATCGTGTCGGAACCCGGGAATCTCACATGGTTCTATGTTGTGCGCGACCCTGGTGAGCTCCGGCTCGTCCCGGTGATTGTGACCGGCCGGCGGTGATGGAATTAAGTTGATGAAGCCAGTGATCTTGCCACGATAATGGCATTTGTGCACGGGTATTTTGTGCCGGGCAAAGTGCTGTGGATTTACCTCTTCGCCCTCTACATTGGATACATCGCCTACGTCGTCGATACAGCGACTCCTACCAAAGCCTCAGGTACACCGCGGTTTTACACTCCCACCCTTTTCTCACCGGACTCCTACGCAGTGTTTAGAATTGAGGACTTTTTCCGTGAAAACGCGTATGAGTCTTGCAATGCTGCTAGGATTGTAAAATATTTCGTAGTATTTGCAGCAGATGAAATTCATTCACAGTCGACCTACTGCTCTACAAGAGTGAGGAAAAACTCGAAGCTGAGTGAGTGAAAAATTCTCAGCAGAACTGTCGAATGAGTTACTTACAACTAGAGAACAAGGAAGTTCTCTAGTTGTAAGACTTCCACTGCTGGAACCTCAATCTTCCCAATACTGGAAGTCTCAAACGCCCTTTTACCGAAAAACGCCTCAATTCTTGGCCATGCTCATCCCACTCATCCCTTGATTTTCCTCAATTAGAAACCAAAGTTTTCTCTTGCTTCTCTAGAATATTTGTGGGAAACTCTATCGATGTTTTCATCTTTCGGCCGATTTTTTGTCGCACTTTCATATTTCTAATTCCAAAAGTGTTCCTAATGTTTACATCATCTGCTCAATCGAAGCCTCCTCATTATTATGTTGATTTGGAGAGTCAAATATGTCATTCAAGAGGTCAATAATGGCGGCTCAGGTGCAATAACATGAATCTCATCAACAGGTACCTCAAAGTTCCTGCAGGAGAAATTCTCGGTTGCTGGATTATATTCCCGGATTTTTCCCTGGAATTTTAATTCCCTGATGAATTCCGGGTTTCCCGGTTATTCCCGGTCGTAGACACCATGAACTTCGTGGGCCGCGTTTATTAGAAAGGAACTAAGCCGCATCAGCTGTTGCCAAATTTACCTGGGCATTTTAATATATCACAAGAGAACCTTATAAAGCGGATTCCGTTGAAAATTTTGAGGAATTTGCTTCGTTCTTTGCTGAAAATTCACTAAAATTGGCACGAAAATCCGCACAACTGTTCTCACGTAAGAATCAAATTGCCCAATTAAATTTGGCAATAGCTGATGTGGCTTGCTCCATTTCTGCTCAACGCAGACCAATTTGACAGGTGCTCTGAGTGAGGTACCTGTTGCACTCACAGTTGCAAAGGATACCTCTCGGAATCGCGATGTCGCTCGGGCCATAATGCCTTGCTAAGGAAAAACGCCGCAAGAGCCTTTAGATATTACCATATTTCCTTCAATGAAAGTCAAATTTACCAGGAAAATTTTGAGTATTTTTTTTCGAATTTTTCAGGCAATTTTGTCCGCGATTTTATCTAAAATCTCTGAAATCGATGATGCACTTCTTTGAAACGATAGTAATGATATTTCCTCGCTTTCCTTCGTGGTGAGCGAAAGTTCATTAATTCTTGCGAGTAGTTTAACGTGGGGTTTTTTCCTGTGGGAAGTAGGTACTAGGTACCTAATCTAATAATCCTTCAGAAAATTTTGACACTTTCGGACTGAGTAAATGAATCGATCACTGTGCTTAGTCGTGGAGTCATTAAGTTCTTTGGTCAACGTAGGAATGGATCTATACGTCGCCTCTCGGCGTGGACACTATTTAATTTCACTCGTGTGACTAGACACTGGCTAATGCTGGAAATAAGCATTTTTCTGGTCTCCAAAGTTGCATCGATAAGTTGTCTTCAGTTACGTGGGCAATTGAGCCTATGGGATTGGCGATGCAACCAGTTCTTCCCCAGTATATTTTCGCAAAAACACGTTTTAACACATGATATAGGTTGCCAAATCACGAGAAAAAATTTTTTCCATCGAGAAGCGGGTAACTCCAGTTCTGTTTTGCTAAGGAAGAACGTCGTATGAGCCCTCTTCTCCAGTAAAATACGATTTTTGGGGGAAATCTGTAAATTTTGTTATTCCAGTTTTTTAAGATTTTCTTCGAAGTTTAATCCTAAGATTCCGAAAATTTCAAGGAGCAATATTACTCAATAACTTTTATATTCCAAAGTGAGTATTATGTCAGAAAAAATGTGGCATCATTCGAATGTTCATGCGGCGTTTTTCCTTAGCACCGTGTTGCTCCCAGTCAGCACACTTTGCCTCGTGTCAAAATTGCAGGAAGATTGTTTGTTAGCTCGTCACTAGATTGCATTTCCATACAGTATTGTTGCAAAGCTAGATTATCTACAAAGTTTTCCTAGCCTTGCAAAAATTGTCGGAAAAGCTCAATTCAGGCTTCCGCTTGCCGCAAGATCACTTATACAAGCTTGCGCTAAGCTAAGATCAACCTTGCTTCAAAGCAAACTCAAGCAAGATTAAGCGTGTGTGCTGTTCGGGTTTCTAAACCCAAAGCCCTCGTACTTAGGTACCTACTTAGGAAACTTCTCCACGCTTTTTTTAGGCGACCGACAAATCGGTGGCGAGAGTGCGAAATCACGTATCTGCTCCGGTGCATTATACTTGTAAATTTCCGCTCCTCTTTTATTTTTTCGAAGAGAAACAAGCCCTTTTCAATAGCTTGAAATTTACTCGGAATAGGTATTCTGAAAAAAGAAGAAAAACCTAGGGATTTTTCATCAAAACCGCATGTTGATTAGTATTCCAAAGAGAACATATTCTATGATACGAAACCTGCAATGTCTCTAAACGGAGATACGCGGTTTCGTACGTTGGCGGTGGAACTACTCCTCGTGACCTTGAACTTGGCTTTTGGATTTAAGAGGCGAAATCGTTGTGCTCGGGAAACTGAGCGTGGCTCGCTCCCGATATGAGTGCGGGATGAGTGGGAAAGACGATTTCACTTGGCGATCAGACAACAACGCGTTGACCCTTACTAATAGGAAACCTAGGATTTTTTCGGTGTTGGGTGAGCCGGCGTCACAGGTTGCAGGTCACAGGTAGTCAGTCACGCGCGTTTATACTCAGGTGAGGTGAGCCATCAGTTTTTGGTTCAGGTAAAAAAAGGAGGGAATGGATTCGATCGACATGCATGGATCCATCGGAGAATAAAAACTGTAAGGATCGACTGAACTCGACCGACTCATGGGTATGTCAATCGGTTCACGGATTTGTCTGATTCACGGGTTTGTCGATCGAGTTACGGATTTGTCTAATTGGAGGGTTTGTCGATCGATTCATGGAGCCGTCTCATTCAAGGGTTTGTCGATCAGCTCACGGATTTTTCTACTTCTCGGATTTGTCGATCGATTCACGATTTCTCGGTCGATTCATTGGTTCGTCTAATTCAAAAGTTTGTCATTCGATTCACGGGTTTGTCGATCGGTTCACGGATTTGTCTAATTCAAGGTTTATCGATCGATTTATGCAGGGTCGGACACGTGCTGCGGTTTACACGAGCTTAAGACGTGGGTCTGCAAATCCAACCTAAGAAAGAATCCGACAAGAACCTGAAAAAAGACGAAAGAACAAGTATCAAAGCAGCCGAAGGTATGAGAGATGTGTTCAGGCTTCTTCTTTAACTTTTCTCCTGAATCTGATTGTGAGCGACACCTAATTAACAGCATATAGCAGAGCATTGAGAACTCACGCTTCGCGTCATCGCGCCTTCAATTTTTCAGATGCAGCACGGACGTCCATCAAGTACGAATAGTTGTATCTCTGCGCCGTCGTAAACGCGCATCCTCTCCCTTCCTCTATTTCCATATTGTGTTTGTTTCCGTATCCGTTTGTCTTATTCGTAATGGTGCTTCAAGCACTACGTGAGTAACGCAGCCGAAGGTAGAGGAGGTGTGTTTTGGCCTCTTTTTTAAACTTTTCTCCCGAATTTGAGCGGCACCTCATTGACAGCATATAGCAGAGCATTGAGAGCTCACGCTTCGCGTCATCGCGCCTTCAATTTTTCAGACGCAACACGGACGTCCATCAAGTACGAATAGTTGTATCTCTGCGCCGTCGTAAACGCGCATCCTTTCCTTCCCTCTATTGCCATATTGTGTTTGTTTCCGTTTGTCTTATTCGTAATGGTGCTTCAAACTAGTAGCATAGACCAGAGCATTGCGTGTTTACGACTCACGCCATCGTGTCTTACATTTTTCATATGCAATGTGGACATCCATCTTGCGCGAATGGTTGTATCGCGTTTACACTTTAGATGTCTCTTAGTTTTGAATTTCGAGATTAATGAAGGTTAAATTTTCCCGAGATATGCTATGGTATGTCCAAATCAATAGTCATTTTGAAAAGGAAGATATATTTTTAAAGGTCTCTCAAGAGGTCTATAAAGAGTGCGTGTATCTAAAAATCGAAGCGACCATCGCTTGTAAGGGAGTGACACATAGCGAATGAATGAGGGGGATAAAAAAGCGCCTGTATGTCAACAAAAAGGTGAAATTTCACAGTAAAGTGTTCACGCTTCAGGAAGGATTTATTGAACCTTTGTTCGCCACTATCATGCGTAAAAGCACCTCTCTTTACTCGTAACTCTCTCTTCTGTCGTTCATTTGTCGCATATATTCGCGATCGTAATTTTTTTTTCTCTTCTTATTTTGCTATCTGACAGAGGGACAAGTTTTCGGCGCGCCAAGGGGGCGCACCTGCCGATGGCGGATCGGCCTTACGGCCAGTCCGAGCCTGGATTTATGTAGCCGTCTAATTCAAGGGTCCGTCGATCAATTGACGGATTTACCTACTTCTCGGATTTGTCGATCGATTCACGGGTTTGTCGAGCAGTTCACGGGTGTGTCTATGGATTCACGATTGTCGGTGGAATCACGTCGATCGTTTGGCCTTCTTATTTTTCGATCGATCCCTGTCGGAAATCGACACCGGCTTTTCAATCGTTTGTCGGGTATGCAGACAGTACGTCTACAGAAAAAAGGGCTACAAAAAAAGGGCTACCTTTTTTAGTCTACAGTCAAAACGTCTACATTAAAATGCCTACTGAAATTATGTCTACAGATAAATATGTCTACGCTATTAAAATGTTTACGGTTTGTTTGCCCACTTAGAAAATGTCAAAATATTTATGTTGGCCACTAAAAATATATAAAGTATATTTATAAAATAAAAAAATAATTAAAATATATATATAAAATACACATGATATGTATAG